TATAAACATAACGTAATATGTTTATTGCATTGTCTATTAAGACTGACGCTGGTCTTTTTTTCTTTATTTTTTTAAATATATATAATTCCTTGTGTTAAACCAATTATTACTTACTGTTTTTGTTGTTGAGAGTTTCGCCTGATATATTAAAGACAAACGAGGACCAAATTTTAAAAGTGGCACCATGTCTCTTACAAAAATTTGCTTATTGAAATAGATGATTTTATAGGGTTGTGGAGAGGAATTAAAATTATATATTACAGTACAGTACTGCATGTGTACTCTCAATAATACACCAAATTGTAAACAAATAAATTGGTGTTTTGCGCCCTCTAGAGTATATATCATTTCATCTTTATCCAAGAGAAATACCGTAAAACGTCTAATAACCCTGGGTTCCTATTCATTGGCTGTTTTTGTTGGGTTACTATTAGAGAAGTGGGTTACTATTGCTAAGCCTATGTAGGCACTTCAAAATAGTTAACCCTACCTACCCCCCCCCCCTTTTTTTTCACGTCAGCAATTCATAGAAATATAAACGCGAGTAAAAAAAAAACATTGTTGATTTACGGTTTTATTTAAACTCAAAACGCTCCTCCGCCCCTTATATTTTTAACCCGACCCCTACCAATTGTGAAGAATGCCCGGTATTTTAAGGAATAAATCGTGTTAAAGCGATAAACATGTTGATTTGAATGTCATTTTTTTCAATAGTTTTGGTGACTAATAGCAGCCTGGGTTACAATTAGAGTAGTAGGTTATTGTATTTTAGCCTATGTTTTATGGTACTAATGCCAACGAGAGATGAAAAACTTAAAAATAAATTTGAACAAAATAATTTCCAGTGGGACCTTCTAACTGAAAATATATAAATCATTAATCTACTGTATTGAAATAGCATCTCATCATGTTTTAATAACTTCAGTTGTAGGGCCAAAGTTAAAACTAGGTCTATACATCATGGCTTTTTTTTTTAAAGAAGGTGGTAGGAATGTATCTAAAGTTGATGTGTAGTGTTGTTCCCATCCTTTATCATTTCTGGTGAAGAGAGAGATGATGAATCGTACATGATGCAGAGACAGAGAGCAAAATTAAATATTGTAGCAAAAAGGAAAATTGTAAATAGGCATTTGGGAATTTAATAAAAGATGTGATCGCTGTATCTCTTTTTTTGGTGGGGAGGTGGTTAGGGTTAGGGAAGGGGGCGGTTGTTTGTGGTCGTCAATGACGTCATTTTGAAAAAAAGAAAAAACGTTTGTGAATAAGATGGATAAACATTAAAATAAATGAGAATACTGAATAAGCCTAACTTGAGTAATGAATCCATAGCGTACATTTTCTTCACAAATAAGTAAATACTAATATGATTTTATATGAGACTTAAAAAGTAGGAGGAGTTCTTCAGCTATCTTGTATGACGATAATACGTTACGCGTGTACCGTGCATTCTGGTCGACGTCAGTCATTCAACCGACTTGCATAATGCTATAATACTCAATAGGTGTAATCCCTTCCTGCGTGAACAATTAAAAGCTTTTGCCCCGCAGGGTGAGAATATTTCCCGCCCACTTCTTTTCATTGAGCATTTTCAAAGGCAATTAGTCGTTTATCTTCATCGAGCGAATACACACAGCTACAACAATCCAAATTCTCTGATGTGTGAACTTGTGACCCCTTTTCCAGGGCTACGGGATCGTTGAATCTGTCGCGGACATCAAAGTAGAGAAACACATTAATTTTTATATCATTTATGTACATGAATAAAATATGTATTTGTTTTAAGTGTTCAATATATATGTACATAATACGATAAGATTCCTTTAAAATTTGTTTTGATTTTCAAAAATATGAGAACAAAATATAAACTTTTAAAATCCCTTTTAGTAATTTGGAATAGTCTAAATTATTATTCGTGACATGCGTAGCTTGGTGAAATGTCGGTACAGTCGAAGACTAGAGGAATGTTGTTATGCCGCGTCTGCGAGCCACTTTTCGTTTAGTCTGTCCGTAGACAAGAATAACCTAATGAAAGGTTTTATCGTTAGTCGTGAAAGAATCATTGTCGGCACAGAGTAAAGACAAAAACACGGACAAGGTTTGTACAAGCTACTCGTTTAATCTCCCATCTTTTATGGTTTTGTTTAGCCATGCGTAACGGGGTTCTTGACTTTTTCTTGAGTGACAGGCTCACGAAATACTGCTTAGGAGGGTTAGCACAGGCAGGTGTCTACCTTTCGGGAGCCATTATATTTTCGTACGTTTCCTCACGTACGCTTCATGATATCTCTTCTCCATCAGTAAGATAGTTTTATTAGTTACGAGAATCTTGATTTTCTATGTCACGTTTGTTGTTTGTGAAGGTTCTTTCAAACCAAACTAACGTTTAATGGCTTCGTCTTATTTTTAGGTATCGTGTGGCGATTGTTGAGGTGCGAGTGGCGAACGAACTGGGTTGATTTGATAACAAGTTTTCACCAAGAATTTCACCGATCATGGACTGGAATTATTTCTTCTGGACTTTTTTTAGGAAGGTTTAATTTATACACCGAAACGTGTAGACTATTTTTATTATTGTTGTGTAAGAAAATCAGTGAAAAAACTGAGGAAAATGTTTTCACATGCTCAACAAGCAAGAGGTAGTAATAATTACTCAGGAAGCTTCAGCCTAGGTCCAGAGCAGTCAGGGATCGGCCACAATTATGGACCAGATGGACATTATGGGCCTATGGCAAACATGTATGATGGATATCAAAGCAATCCTAATGCTACACCTATGAAGCAATTTGGTAGCAGCATTGGAAATGAAACTAACTTTTTAGGGAATGCAGACAGCAGTGGTGTTACAAACATGAACAATCAAGCAATGTTTAATGCTGGTGATGGAACATCAGGATATGCCATGCAACAACAGAACTTTCCTTCGTATCCTTCTTCCGGATATGGCATTGTTGGTCAAGACAGTGCTTCCTCCCAGAACCGATCTTTTCCCATGAACTCTACTGGTATTAACAATTTTGATCAGAGTAAACCGGTAGCATACAACAGTGGAGGAATTCCAGGAAAAACTGTAGGATATCCTATGGGCCCAGGTACTATTGGAAGTAGACGCGTGTCTGCTCCTCCGGGAATAGGACAACGGAATTTCCAGCAACGAAGTACTTCTTTTACACAGGAAATGGCGTTCACTGGGAGTGATATGAACAGTGGTTTTACATCAGACCAACATACAATGAACTCTGTGACAAATAGGAACTATCCCAGTGGACAATATCATGTTATGCAGGTTAATCAATCGAATATGTATGTTCCTGGCGAACTACCAATGGTTAGTGAAGGTAATTTACAACAGAATTACCAACAGCCAAAATATTCCACATCTTACCCTAACTCAACAAGTATGGGAATGCAGGGACAAAAACTAAATTATGGCATGCCACGGCCTGCTGTTTATTCAAGTGGTTCGTCTGCTTTGACACGTACAACCTCCCGGCCTAGCATACAGCGGAGTTTTTCAACTGGGAGAGTGGAAGATAGTTATAACAAGATGGCCACTGGTGGCCATTTAATGAGCGCTAGCTTTGAACTCAATAGAGGATTTATGAATGGTACAGAGTTCGGAAATATGCAAATGAAAGGAGAGCCAGCAAATAGGATTCCCAATGTGAATATGTCCAGTAACTTATTGGATTCTATGGGTCAACACGTAGGTAATCAGGGATCCATAGAACAAGCCCAAGTGAATCGTGTATCAAGTCAACGTTTAAGACATTATGGCCCCTCGCCGAGTAATCATGGCATGGCCTTTTCAAATGTTCAAGGGATGGATAGCACTCCAGGATTTCCTAATGCAAGTTTCAACCCTATGCAGTCAACGTCAGGACCCTTGAACTCTAACCCAACAAACTTTGAAAGTGGTATGCCCAATGCAATGCAGAGTATGAGCCCACCTGGATCAGGGCCAATGAATATGGATAATATGCCCATGGTAAATCAGCCTGGGTATATGAACACTCCATCTGTGTACCCAGACAGTGATAATTTCAACATTCCACGATCTCAGCGATATCCAAGCAAGTTGCAGCCTGATGCTTATGGATCGGGATTGCCTAGCATGAATGGTGGTGATATGATGGGTGCATATGACCCAAACATTCAGCCTATGGCCATGAGTAAAATGAATGCCTCCAATCCTATGCAATTCCAACCGCAAATTTCCCGTAGACACACACGTACTGATCGCATTTTTAGCCAGGAGCTAGAAAAACTAGCTAAGCTTTCTCGCAATCCAATGTCAGAGCCATTTACTGCTTCACCAATCACAACACCAATCGATTCAGCAATGAATCCTCAAGTGAACTCTTTCCCAGTAACCCCTGAAACGATATCATCTCCAAACAATTTCCCAAAGACCTCTATTTCTCCCGGATTTCAACCTGAGCAACTACCTCAGCCTTCTCAATTGCCCGACAATGAAGCCTTTGTACAGAATACACAAATCAATTGTAAAAACACAAACTTAAAACCAATACAAAATTTACCCAACACACCGCATTATTCTGCACCATCAACACCTAATAATCAAACTGCTATGGATATTCCAGTGTCGGCTGCATCATCTACTAATAACACAACTACGTCACACACTTTCTCAATGACTGATTCTGGAAAGTCGCCTTCGAATGAATTTATAGACTCAAAGGTTGAAATTGAAGATAAAAAAAATGCTGTACACCAATTAAAACGGATAACACATTCTTTAAAAGACAAGCAAACTGAAAAAGGACAGCAAAGCGAATATATCTCACATGGCACTGAAGGAAATACAGAGGGCGGTAGTCAGAATTGTATTGCAGCATTATCAGCTGCATGTCGGAATATGATTGCCGACATGGATAGTACAATGCCAAAACAAAAGGCCCCTAATCAGGGACAAGGAAACAGTTCCCTCCCAAGTTTTGAAACCCTCACCAGCAGTTCAACACCCAATTATAGTAGTAATGCTATTGGACGACCACCAAATAACTGTGGTATGGCAAACAGCACCACAACTATGCCACCAAACTCGTTCAGTAATAACCAGTACAATATGAACTCTGATTATCTTTCTTCTCCACCTTTTGGTGGAACAAACCATTATATGGGCACAGATTTTCAATTGCAATATCAAGACTTCCTTGAGCAGTCGCTTCCCATGCAAATGACGCATAAGAGACCGGATGAAAAACCAAAACGTACGCGCAGAAGGAAAGTCTCGGAGGATATGTCTGATCAAATTTCAAATTCAAGTGGACAAAAGCGACGGCGATCAAGAAAAAAGTCGCAAAACCCGCCAAGTGTAGATTCCATTGGGACGCCACAATCTATTGACACTTGTGCAACCCCTGCAATGAGCGATCATTTTTTAGATGATATTACAAACAATGGGGCCTGCAACACGCCTATCCAATCAATGTCATTTGGATCATTGAACTCGCACACACCAAGTCCAAATTGTCCAAATTCTAAACCGTCTCCAGGGCACGATGATTTGTCTGGAAATTTTTTAGATTCTGATAATTTTGAAAGCGTGTTTTCGCCAGATACTACTGCGCAAAACCTAACTCAGGACCCTGATGATGTAACAAATTCTGGACTGTTAATAAATCCATCACCTAACGCATCCAAACCTACAACCCCTAATCGTCCCAGCTCTAATTATTCCAGTGCAAGTCTTCCAATTGTAAGTCCTAAATCGGGCCCTCTTTTGAACTGTCAACCAAGTAATCTGCCAACCTCAACGAGCATGGAGTTTATTCCATCCCAGGTGTCGTCCGCATCTGAGAAAGTTACACAATCTCAAGAAGCGACAAATGAAGCTCATCCTCTTGAAATACTCCAACAACAAATACAACTCCAGCGACAACAGTTTAATTTGGGCGAAACTGGATCATTAATTGGAAATGACTCAACAGTGGTTAAAACTGAAAAAAATTCATGTAACAATAGCAACCACTCGCAGACGGACATCAATGTTGATGCGCTGATCACAGATAAAAACTCTTCCTGGTATTTGACAAACGATTCAAAGAAAGATGAAGTTTTGTTACCATGGGAAGACTCGAAGAAAGCAGCCTCCACAATGCCATCGAAAGGTAGGAGCCTTCAAAGTCTTATGTGTATTTCCTGAGAAGAAACTGTATCTTGGAATTTAATAGAAAAAAATACAAACATGGTGACTGAAAACAACTCTTGTGATTCAATTGAAATTATATATGAAATTAATTTTTGCTGTGGACTAAATGACAAGCGAATTACATGCTACACTTAAGGATACTTTAATAGTAAACTAAATGCCATTGAGGAAGACACTCCAAAATTATGTGTAAACATATTTGTCATGTTTTTGGATTGATATTTGGATTCAATATTGGTGACTAATTTAGCACAGTGAATACCACAATCTGCGAAAAGGAAGTCAAAGAATTGTTTTCATACCTCATGTTGTATCTATAATTCCATAATTGAATTCAGATTGTATTTAATATTCAGTGAAAAGACAAAAATATTCTCGGAGATGGACTTACTGTTCTTGCCTTAATATAATACATCAAAAGTGATTTGGGACAGTTACTGTGCCAAGTATAGGAAGTTTGCCTTGCACTCACAATCATGTACTGTACATCTTTTTGAAAATGTTAACTATCTTGTAAATTGTCTGCATTTTATGCCTTTCATGTTCATTGGAAATATCAAATATGCCTTTTGTTTCTTTAAACATTTAATGCGAACAGTTTCTAAATCAGTAATCTTAACCAGCTTGTTTTATTACAGTCTGTTTTTGTTCGGAAAATAGGTGAATTTTTAACAATTTTTAAAGGCACTTGTGTTTGTACAATAACAAAGTGTTCAAACTAGGTTGTGAATATACCATTGATATTTTTTCCAAGTAAAAAGTAAACAAAATGCAGTACTGTTCTAATTAGTTTGCCAGGGCATGTTGGGAAGTACTGGGCTGTATTCTTTATTGTTCTAGGATTCTTGGTGCTGACATTTTTCTGGTTCAATGTGCCAAGGACAGATAAATTCAAATTTCAACTTGCATTTCACCATATTATGTGTAGAATAGGCCTGCCAGCTGAAAACATTTAAGAAGCTCTACTGTAGCAAAACCTATGCCCATGCTCATAATGGCTTGGTAAAAATTTAAGCTTATCAAGTTTAGTTTTTGGAAGGTGAAATGCATGAGAAAAAAAACCAGCAAAAACCTTAATCCTGCTGCACTTTTTACACAGGCCACAGAGTAAGATTTTTACCCTTAAAATATACCAAAACAAATTGTTGTGAACAATAAAATACTTCTTAAATAATCAGAAAAAAAATTATAGAGATAAATTTATAAAAAGTCCTCCATGTTTTATGATTATACAGTATGTTTTTGATTTCATTGTAGCATTGGTTATCTAACTACCATCTATGCTATTTGTGTTATATATTTGGTTATTACAGTAGTATTTTTTTTTATAAGAAAATGTAGTATGTTTGACCATATAATTATTTTATATTTATTTAAAGAGTAAATTTATATTCTGTTGGGCCCATTAGTTCAGATGATGCTGTAGGAGCCACCCTCAAATATATTGGCTGAATTAATTTTAACATTATGATTAAAGCATTTAATAACACGGTTGGATTTATAAAATTGAAGGTTATATAGTTTTGCTGGATTCTTAATGCTGTAAAATAAAACGATGGTTAGATAGTTAAGGTCCCTGCCTTCTACTGTAATCCTAGTGTCTCAAGTTCACATCCTACAAACATATTTTAGATTTTATATTCAAGACTAAATACAAAACAATTCCATGACTTGATAGAGCAAGATATTATTTTTTTGGCACATTATTATTCAATGCAAATTAAATTTCAAAAGAAGTGTCCTTGTGTGGCAGTAAATAGAGGTTTCATATGTGTTGCCATAGTAACAATGCATATTTTTTGTTTGTTTATTCCGATGGAGTTCTTTATTTGACTATAACCAGGGAAGTGCTATCCCCACTTTCCTGCTTGTATAACAAATATGGTTTTTTAATAAATAAAATAAAAATGAAATTGAAACTATGAATTTGTATCTTACTCTGTTAGTGATTATGATTTTGCTATAGTATCAATTTTATTGTGAAGAATTATTTATTTAAAAAAGATATTTTCTAAATATATTTACATACAGTAAAGCACATACTGTCCATCCATGGCAAATAGTGCTGAACTTATTCTAAGCAATGGTAATATATTATTTTTTAAATGAATATTATTAGGATGTAAAATAAAATATGTATTAGGCATTCACTTGTCTTGAATCAGGGTATTTAATCTATATCCCTGCTATATTAAAAAAAATAAATCAAATGAGCAAATGTAAAAATTAAAAGTACTGTAAGTACTGTAGCAGACCAGGAAAATTAGTAGGCGTGACACCGGGGTGCAATCAGTCTCAAATTGGTGTGACGTTCTGCTCTTCAGTGCCACAAACATTTTGGTACTCTGTACTGTATAAATTTATTTAGCTAAATTATTCAATAAATTTTAATTGAATTTGATTATTGCTTCCATTTTGTTTTCTTGTTGGCCGCATTTACCATTATTGTAAACCTGATGCACACATTATCCCTCCCTATCTGGCATAATCCATTTTCCAACATGTTAGATTCAGAATGTACCGACATGTACTGTACATGGAGTATATTGTGTGATTATCACTACTTTAGAACCCTGGGCTATTGAGGCTGACATTTTTCTATACCACTTTATCTGAAACTTACAATTCTCAATCATGTTAATATATTCTAATGTACCCATGTTTGCTGTCAGATCCAGAAACATTAGATTACCTGTGTTCTTTTCACAACATAATTTTCTAAATTTGCACTTTTTCATTATTAAAATATTAATAATGATATAGTGAGAAGTTACCTTTGTTAACTTTATTACTGTATTTGGATTTTTTAGATTTCATAATTAGTTATTTTACTTCTCAACATATTAATTACTATGCTGTACTGTACTTCTACAGTATAATAGTACAATACCACTACTGTACAAAGAATTTATAAATTATATTTCTTTTTTGTAATAAGCATTGTGGTTTGAGGGTTAATGCTTTAAATATTTTACGATAATACAATTATATTTCCCATTTGAATTGAACTCTCCCCAAAGCTTCCCTCCAAGAAAGTGTATTTCTAAATAACATTTATTAGCAGAACAGCTGAGTTGCTTCTGTATAATGATTTATCTCCTCATTTAACCATCAGTATTCTAATAGATTATATACTATACAGTAGTTTAGTTTGGTTTTTTTACCATTGAATGCAGACACAAAATCCATTATTTTTTTTGACATTGATACATTTTTAATTTATTTTATTATCACAACATTCTGTACTAAATACAGTAAACCAGTGAACAAGTATTATTTTTCATTAGTAAGTACAGTAAGTAAAAATGTTATTTATTCACCTTATTTACAATTAATATAAATTACACATTACGGTACATCATAAAAAGGCAAAAGTTAAATACAGAAGTTCCATTTTTTTCACAAATTTAAATATCAAATTTTGGTTGAAATATTTTATTTTGCTAATTCTACTGCTTCAAGTTTTCTTAGTATAATAGTAAAGCAAGTTGTCTGAAGAAATCTTAAAGAATCTCCTAACTCCTAATGGATTTTTCTATCAAAAAATAGAAGCTTGAATGTGTCTGTGGCTAAGCTGCTAATGTTTCATGTTGTGTAGTGTACTGTACGTGTACAACATACTATTCTCATTTGACATTTAACAGGAAGCTAAGAGATGAATAAAATGTTTTTTGTTAATGTATAATATTGTATGTAATTGTGTAATCAGTATTGCTAATATTATTTATAATGTTGTTTTAGCATCATTGAATATCATGCATCATGATAATAATGGTTACCCTTATCATCATAATCTATCATTGTCATCATAATCTGGTCGAGCTTGTCCGAACTTCAATAACAAATAATAATAATAATAATAATAATGATAATACCTGTTATTGTACAGTAATCAGCATTTTCTGTATTCAAAACATGCATTTTAGGAACTTTTTCTCTTTTCGTATTTGATTCTAAAATTCTTGAATACCATCAATCCAAGTGTGACAACTCCATCTCAACTTGGATTCAATCCTCCTTATATCAAAATTCATCAACAGATGAATACATTCATGTGCAAATGTACATGTTATAATGTAAAATGTTCTAAAGCATTCAATGAGAAACACAAATAGTGCTTTAGGATGCATTATCATTGCACTGTTTTCATAAATAATTGTCAGTTTATATCTTAAAGTGATTGCCTTCCTACAATGTTTACATGCAATTTGCTGTTGTATTCAAGTTTCATACCAAGTTCTTTGTACCTGTGAATTTGCTATTTACAGTAATGTAGATACTTGACTTACAGTTTCATCCTGTAGCAATATATAAATTAAATATCTTGTGATATCTCTCGTATATTCAGGATGCTGCACCAAACATTTTTTTTTTGTGAATTTTTTTTTAAAGCACTACACTTGAAAAAGCATTGCAACATACAGTAAGAGTATTTTGTTTTCGAAGCTTACTGAAACCAAGCTACAGTACTGTATTATTAATGATTAGGATTATTCAATGTTGCTATGGTATTTAAATAGCTCCTCTCCCCTGAATATCAACCTAGTTGGTAGGGGAATTCTCTGTAATGTATAATAAAGTGTCATTGTACATATTTTTGTGGAATATGTATGTTAAATCATAATGGAAGCAGATATTCTACCACTTACATATTCAGTTTCATCTTTATTGCAATTTAAAAGTTGAATTTACATAATAAAAATAAAAAGCAGACATGAAAACATTGAAGAATCAATAAAAAATATAAAAATACAATGATTAGGATTTACTGTAAGTTAAAAAGACAAATACTAACAGTTCTACAGTACTGTAGGCCTACCATCAAACAATTATTTTATTCGGTTAATTAACGTTACTTAATTTGTTGGTAATAACATCCTACATAATAGAATCAATGATATTCTGAAGTAAAAAAGTAAAGTGAAATGCATCTTTTTCTTTTGTAATCTACAAAATTAAATAAAATTACTTAATTCCTCCATGACATAACTTGGATAACTAAATATTTGGATTTATATAGCGCATCATGCAAAAAAGCCTGCACTTGGTGATTGAGCTATATGGTACTGTAGTTAATTGAGTGTTTTGAATGTTACTTATGAAAATCTTTACCATCAAGATTATTACAATTGAAAGTAATCCAAGGATTATCTCTCATTTTCTAATGATGTGAAACTATTATTAGTTATAATAATATTTTGAAAGTCAAATTTCCTTTGTCCAAGCTGTCTTGTTTCAAGAATCTTCTGTTATTTTTCAAACCTTTCATTATTCTACTGTATGTCTTGTAATTGTTTTGAGTTTTCCTAATGAGCACATCAAAAATGTACAAGACTAATTTGAATATTGCTCATAAACGCTTGGAAGAATAATTGGATTCTACTCTATAAAGCTAAAGGCTTAACATATTTATGGACGCTTGCCCAGGGCAAGTGAATTATTCAGTGGTTGCCCAAGGGCAACTGAATACTTTAACTCACATTGTTCAATCCTAATTTGTAGCAGGTACTTGAAAGGACTTTGACACATAAATTTTGAAGGAGAAATTCATTTTTATTAGGATGCCTGACAAGTTTATATTCATGCATTTGTTCATTCATTTATTCCTTTTTTTTTCTTTTTCTTTTTTTGTCAACAACAACATTCACAGTATAATACATTATGATTATAGCCTACTATATCTTGAAATAATCTACATTATTTCATTACATAGAGAACTTTATTTGTAGGCATATAGTTTTTTCCTAACTTAGTTTGCTTTATAGTACATTGATCTTATTACGTAATTTGTAGATGTATTAAAGAGTGAAGTTGATTTAATTTGAGAAACCATGATTATTATAGGGATTGGGTCCCTGAATCCTGGAATAAAGGATGAGTGCTATAACCACTAAGTCATTTATTGCTTAAGCATGTAATGATATGATCCATCATAATCAATTATGTATAATTAACAGTGCTTGAATTTTAAAGTTGCATTATTTAGAGTAATCACAATCATAATCCATGTTGGATTAGGAGATTACTATTGATCTTTTTTTATCCAGCAGGGATTTTAAATAGACAGTATAACAGTGGATAATAATGATTATTTTACAGATTGGGACCCAGAATTCTAGAAAATAGAGGATGAGTTCCTTAACCACGTAGTAATTTGTTGTTTATTCCTGAAGCATGTAATGATATGATCCAATGTATTTATTAATAGTGCTTTGATTTAAATTTGTATTATTTATACTAATCACAATAATAATCCTTATAGGATTAGGAGATTATTGTTGATCCATTTTTATCCAGCATGGATTTTGAATGTTAGACAGTATAACAACAGTTATTGTTGGAGTTCACAATGCCAGGAATTTGCTATCATATTTTGTCTGTCAGACATAATAGTTAATATTTGATCAAACAATACCTTTTGTGTTTGTCTATATTGCTACGGTGCTGACTTTATTTAGTGGTCTAGCTTCTTTCATTTTCTAATTGTATCAGTACATCTGTAGTTTCATCATATAGAATTTAAAGATAATATTGAAACCTATCTTTGTCAACTTAATTGAAATTGAACCCTATTACAAGGGTTAGTCTCCTATATAAATGCAGTTTCTTTAGTTCGCTTTTGTCACTATACTGCCAGTACTTAAATTTCTATGAAAACATTTTAATTCCCTCAAAAGAGTGATTTTATGGCATATTAAGGATATTAGTATGTATGCCATGATTAGACCTTGTGAAACAGTGCTCAGGGCAAGTCATAACCTTTGGGTATCTGAGATACACCTGTAGTGAATAAATGAAAGAAAATATAAAACTATTGTATGGTCACAGACAGGAAGTGTGTAGAATGGATTTCAATGCACACTAATCGTTCGAATGCGAGCTCTGCAGCTGATTTCTCTCCGATCAAGCACTGAGTTGTGATGGAGAAGATCAGCAACGTTCCCATGTTGAATATAGAACGTCAGGTGAATTACTAAATGGTGAATCCTTCGTACCCAAGCTCCTCTCGGCCTGTAATCCATCATCAGATGCATGGCTTAGGGCTTGCCGTTTTTACATCGAGCATTACATGTAGGAACCTTGTGTTTTCCGAAGTCTATCGCATTTGTTGACTAAACAGACAAAAGACAGTCCTCAACTAAACACTCTTTACATTTTAACACTTTTGTCCCACGCTCATGTCAGTTAATTTTTTCTCGGGGAATTTGGCCTTAGAGGCCTCATTTCTATCTCTTATTATGTAAGAATATAAAGAAAATCTTGTTTTGAAAGTGATCGATGTTGTTGTCTGCATCCCTTTTTTCTCTTTATTGATTAGTACTTGTATGCCTCTGGAGAAGGGAAACAATTTGAAATCTAAATGTAGGTTCACTGCAGTAAGGTTTTCATAATCTGATGCAG